TATATATCTCCATATAATCCTATACACAGTAATGCACAGTATATATTTCAATATAATCCTATACACATTATATATCTCAATATAACTCTATACACAGTCATACACGGTATATATCTCAATATAATCCTATACATAGTAATACACTGTATATATCTCAATATAATCCTATACACAGTAATACATTCTTTATATCTCAATATAATCCTACACACATTTATACACAGTATATATCTCAATATAATCCTATACACAGTAATACACATTAATACACAGTAATACACAGTATGTATATCATTATAACCCTATACACAGTAATGCACAGTATATATCTCAATATAATCCTATACACAATAATACACAGTATATATCTTAATATAACTCTTTACACAGTAATACATAGTAATACACAGTATATATCTCGATATAATCTTAAACACAGTAATACATAGTAATACACTTTATATATCTCAATATCACTCTATACACAGTAAGTAATATATATCATATATTTCATTATAATCTTACAGACAGTAGGTAAAATATACTATTCAACAGAATATATCTACAAAAAAGCGGACAGTAATAGAGTGTATATATTTCAATATAATCCTTCACGTTTATAGACTGGCCACCTACATTAATATTGGTTTATGTATTGTGATATCCGTATAGATCTAGTAACATGCCAGTACAATATAGGTACTGGAGGAACTACCTTTTGATATATGCCGCTGAAATTTAATGTATACCTAACCTCAATTATTTCGGAATAAATATCATTTGTTCTATTGTTCATTGAAACGATCCGAAGGGAGAACAAATCGGTTACGTCCAGTCTGGCTTTACTTCGGTATTGACCAGTCCGTATCGACCGATGACCGGAACACCGTGTCCAAATATGTCTTTGTTACCGACACAGGCTTTATTGAACAAATGCCTTATGTAGGTTACTAACGAATCGGTGTAAGTAAAGGATACGCTATGAAGTAGGTATGTAGGTATTTGGTCACATCAGTAAATATGAAAGAAAATTGGTCAGTTTTATCGATCATGTATCAAGGTGTGTCTTTACATTTCATCGCTAAAGGCCACATATAAGGGAAGATGTCGAACTTCATTAACGAAGATGTTTTTGAGAAAGCGGAGACAGGCGGACTTTACAGAAAGTATAGCTGATATAGACAGGACGGTTCTTTTCATTTCTTGACCAAGCGAACTTCATCGGTGATGTCTATAATAGGGACAGCCAAGGTTAAACAATAGTGACAGCAGCTATGCAGCTATTTCAAATATCGACAGAGAAGATGGGATGGGGAGTAGGGGGTGGGGGTGAGAAGGAAGAGACAGGAATCATTGAACATTCCAGTGACGTCAAGAAAGGAGCGCTTTTCTATTTTGTTCTTATTTCGGTATAATCTCACTTTAAATATGAAATGCTTGCAGACATAAATTTATATTTAAATATGAAAACAGAAAGAACTTTAATTATTAGTACTTTTGTCGAATCCACTTGGCTTCAATTTGCAATATGATTTATTTAGAATTTAAGCAGCACATGACTGACTTACATAAGGAACTTTCAGAACTTTTTAGAATAGCTTCACGATCTGTCTTCACTGTTATAAAATTCACAATTATATATGTAAAAGATTCTAGAAAGAACAACACGCGCTACAATGAATGTCTACGACACAAGCTATTTGTAAGTTGGTGAAGTTTTATTTTCAAGTTTAGTAACACAAGGTAGGCCTGATAGCTTTGAAACGATTCTATCTCCTTTTTTTTCTAAAATTTAATAATTGAAATATTTTTGAATATAGTAGAAGCACACTATAGGAAGCCCTTGTCCATTACCATGAGCTATGGCTCCTTCACGCAATGTCGACAGTTTAATTAACATAGAAATGATTATATTTGCATCCAAGATGCCGAGGCAATTTAGTTTTGACGGAAATGTAATTGTAGAATTAACTTTTCCCAGCTTTCCCCCATATCGGAATACTCCGGAGGGGGATCAGTTGACGGCAAGTCGACAACGGAAGGGAGTAGGTTCCTGCGCGCGGATACAGCCTTGCGTGCGCGGATCCTGGGTTGTCAGGTGAAGTCCGATGCGGGTTTGCGCGTGCCTCCTCTCGGGATATGCGCGTGCGAACATATCTCGTGTCATAGTGTTTGTAGAATCAGTTATCCAAATAATTGACTGCTAATTTACTTCCGTCAAAATAAATGAAATTGCGAATCGTAATACCGCTTGGACGTCGTTAAACCCCATAGAATTGGAGGTGTAAGTCAAACCAGGCATTATGTGGTAACAGTGTTTTGTTATCTAGTTTTACCGATGTTATGACTCGCTTGCTTTAGCCGGGTACTTTGGTTCTGTAAAACCTATACAAACACCTAATCACTGATCAAAGAGAGACATTTACAGTAAATGTCAACATCAACATTTGCCAGTTGTGTCCGAGCTCTTAGTGGACAATGACCGGACAGCTGGTCAAAACAGGTCAATCAGGTTGAGAACTACTGTATGCATAGAAAGTGAATTTGTTTTAAACTGTTTATCGGTTAAGAGATTGCAGATTCCTATTGCAAATACATATAGTAATTTTACATAGAAATTTATGTTAAAGCACCATAGAAATTTTGTAGTATCTATAACAGTGTATTGATAAAAAATACTTAAAACAGTTATGAAATAAATAATTTGGTTCACCACTTCTTTCGGGTACTAGGAAAACCATTCACAATTCTGAACAAGGCGTGCGAGATCTTGATTCACCACCGTTTATCTATGTTTTATATCAGATAACAGCAGTTCATATCAAATTAACATTAACACATTTGTGACACAATTTTGGAATAAAATTACACGTGCATAATTATAAAGTTGATGTAATCTTTCCCGAAGATTCAAAATTTATTGAATATATTTATTGGGTACATCTGTCATTAGCAGATGGGAAAATACGTATATAAAGCAATCAAAATAGAATTGTTCAGTCCTGATTTAATCCCAGCTATGATTATGACGTGGAAGTTACTTTCCAATCATGATCGAATTAGTGTATAGAAGGAAATTCGTTTCTTCACTTATTTTATGATAGAATCAGGAAGATTACTAAGACAACAAGGTCGAGAGAAAGGTACCAAAGGACACTAATATGGCAAGCTTAACTGACTCCACCTTTTGTAACACACTGCCAGAGTAACACTGCGCGAAAGCTAGAACCTATAAACAGATCATAGAGAACTTCCTGTCGATAAAAGCCTGTTCGTCTGGTAGTTCCACCTTTTAGGGTGATAGAGGAGGATCATAACTCGAACGGAAATATCATCAAGTTGGTCTCGTGTTGCCGATTTAAAATCGGGTTGTGATTTTCATATCTCACCCCAAACGAGTGAAGGATTCTATCATAATTATGTGGACGATAAAGATGTTTACCGAATGTGGATTATCATGTTATTGACAATGATGTTGAAAGTAATCATGTTTTATCAAGCGAAGATACTACCAAAATAATCTGATCACCGTCTTTATCGTGCTAGTTATGTTTGAGTGTTCAAAATTCTGTATCCCCAACCTATCAACAGAATCCGATGTAAGTCACGTCTTGGAAAAAAAACATATGATGCACAATTCTAGGCCTATAAACATGTATACACCCTTGATACTTCGCTCACTCCTATGTCGACATCGTCACACTGTAAAGTTGACACACTATTAGTAGTTCGCATTATTACTTGTTTATCACATTAATCTATGGATTTGTTCGGCATTCTGTCGTCTCTGGCTACGATATCACTTCCCTTTTCATTTGCTTGGTATTGGACACAGAGACGTGGTAATATGCATTGTCTCTGGTCGGGATTTCTGTTGGTACAGAAACATAGACTATATCTCTGGTTTGGATGTTTCCTATTAAATACATTTTACGCACGCGGAGCCCATTAAAAACTTTGTTTAAAAAACCAAAGGATTCTGTTTTTCTACATCTTACTCAATAAACCAGATTTCTTGAATCCGTACCCAGTTTAGATGGCTGGTGATTTTTGGAATGCTTCTCCACTAACATGGCTTCCCGAGTTATGTCAGTTTCCCGCCGACTGTTTGGCGCGGTCTCGGTGGCGTCCCCTGGCGGCCACTATCGATACATCATATAGCCTGACAGCAGAAGAACCGGGGCCTGATATCAGGTCTTGTCAGGACTGTAGACAGTTTGCCCCGGTCCCTGGGGATCGCGATAGTCCCGTGTTGCATTCATTTCATCTTTAGCTAATTTCATTGTTTATAACTCGTCCTCCCCTGACCACGCCGGAGACGAGACTTGCACGCTATCTGACGATTTGTCCAAAATCACTATCTCTTATTCTGTCATCGCGGTCGAAAGCAAACCCCGTCAAATTCATGGATACACGCAACTTTACATAAAAGAACAGTTAATCTGTACGCGGTGGGCAGTATTTCATCATTAGTATGCTCCAAGGGAATATTTTGTAAATTTTATTTCTCTTCATCCTCGGAATTGCTTTGGATTTTTGGGGAGACTTTGTTATTAAGCGTATTTATCCGAGGAGTGCCCCAGACGTCGAACATATAGTGCTGTTTAGGGCTTATTTATGTAATTTGCTCTGTACAGGCATCACTCAAAGACGATTCCCTGTATATACACTGACTTTTAGATTTTTTTCTCTGTTGAACCTCAAACAAATTTTCTGTTTTAGTTATTTCAGAAAGTACATTATGTAGATTTTTAATAGTATTTGTTGTGAAACCGATCTTTATCGATGAGGTTTAATCAAAGTGACTGTCATATTGGAACAAAAGGTGTACATAGTATGTATTTTATGATTTTAAAAGATGTAAAAATTGTTTCACATCACAGTCAATTTTATTTCGATATCTTTTGAATGAAATTGTTATTTTCTTTGCTCTATTAGAAGGAAACGTGGGTAACAGAAATTCATTTAGATCCAAACTAATATATATCTTCCTGTTTCAGGTATGGTTCCAAAACCGCCGTGCCAAATGGAAGAAAAGGAAGAAGACCACCAATGTATTCCGAACACCAGGAGCTCTGCTTCCCTCTCCTGGATTGTCTCCCTTTGGGCCAATGAATGACACATTCTGTACATTCCATCCATCAGACACGAGGTGGTCCGGAATGTCAGGAATATCCAACATGGGTTCCCCGATGAACGGAAACCCTCTGACACTATCGTCCTCGTTACCGCGACAAGGAATAGCTCAGTCTGTCGGACCGCAGATGTCAATTTCCGGACTTGGTGACGTCACTCTGGGAAACAGCATGGGCATGAATGGGGGTGCGGGTATCTACAGCACGGGCTACGGTATGACCCCCGCAAGCTGTTCATCACAGCTTACAGGCTCATCCTCGCCAACACTCCCTAATACTCAGATGTCGTGTGGAATGCAGGAAATGGGAGAAACTTGGCGGGGATCAAGCATAGCTACACTGAGACGAAAGGCGTTAGAACATACGGTCACTCTCACGGGTTTTAGATGAAATAAACGCAGACGGTGCATTATTAATTTGTGACGACGTTTTGGAGTTGACTCTATATATATATATATATATGTATATTTGCAAAAAAAAGAGAACAGTTTCTACTGATCTGAAATAAAATCTCCAAGGTGGCACATACTGCCACTTGCAAAGGTCGCCGTACCAACCAAATTGATATAGCGTTAGTCATATATGATGTCACTTCCGGTGACACCACGACGTCTCTTACGACACAGAAAATCTTGCCAATATTGATGAGGACGGTGCAATCGAGTGCTACGTATGGTTAAGTGTTCGTTTAAAGTCATTCTGTTTCGTGTTTATTGTTCGTTGGAGAGGAAATTGACTTCGCACGTGGATCAGAATGGATTTATTTTCCAAGTCGGATCTCAGACACGTGGTTTCACCATTGATATTGGACGCTGTACCCGTTGCTAGGTAATCAAACATTCCTTGTTGCTAAGTGACTGACATTATTCCCCGTTGCTAGGTTACATATGTCATTCCTCGTTGCTAGGTGACCAATTTGGTTATCGTTGCTGGGTGATGATTTCCTTTGGGAATGTGCAATGGACGGTATCGTGTATTTATGAACTTATTATAAACTTATTGTATTAGTGTAGCCAGACATCAATGGCCGTTCTCCTTCCGGTTATCATACCTGTTACAGTCAATAGGGGTTTACTGATAGATAGGATCGTTGATCATTTATTTATGCTTATTTCAGGAATTATGAAAATATCCGAAAATTGTTGAAATAATAAACACGTTAACAGCTAACAGATCCACTAATTTTTGTACATTAACCTGTTACTTTCATGGGACTCTCGCGCGCTTCCATCCGCGCCAACAACAATTATCAATATAAGCTGGAAACACTTGTTTCTCGAAATTGTTGTAAAATAGATATAGTTCAGATTTTATTAATCGATGTAAATGAATCATAAACAAGGTAAGTGTATGTCATTAGTTTCATTAGAAGGGCTACATGAACGGTCATTTTTATCTGACTATAAACATTTTTCTTTGTTTTGTCCGTCCATTTAAAACGGTTCTCAAGTCTACGGTACATCTCATTTCATTAGGACCCCGCGATTCCTTAAAATTTATCTGATTGTTACAGGACATATTGTTTAAAAATACATCATAGAGATTTTTTTTAATGTGGTATAAAACTAGATTATCTCAGAATCATCCTGTTTTAGAAAAGATATACAACTATCATGGTACCGATACATTTGTATATTGTATATGTTAGAAAAATCCACTCTATCGAAAATAATTTATCACCGAAAACTCGTCAACTTTCAGTTTTCACTCTCTTACAGGAGTCCGGATTGAAAAAAAGAGCCAGGGCATTATAGATATTGGAAGTTATTAGGAAAAATCTTTGCTTATATATATATATATCTATTTATTTATCATATTTATTTATTTATATTGATACCGTTGAGTATAAGGTTTTAAACTGGAAATATTAGGAAAACTGACATGAAATACAAAACAGGTTCCATGTAAAACGATGTGTAACTTAAGAAGTATAAGATATTGACTTTATGTTAAAAGTTTATCTATATTGTGTACTGGAGTCTATGTATTTTGTGATTATGACTTACAAAATCTACTTTTGAACCGAGTTCTATAACGGAAGTATTAATGTATGTCTTTTATTCCACATATTGGATACCAGCATCAGGCGGAAATGATGGATTGTTTTGTTTTTTATGGAAAGTCACTGAAGTTTTCATAAAACTCAGAAATTATTATACGGTATTTGCTTAGGAAATTACAGTGTCATATCTAAACGAACTGTGTTACTTTCGCTAAAAAGCAACCCATCGACTGCAGACAAAATGTCAGAGTTTAACATAGCTCAAATTATATTCTCTACGCATGAAACAGAATGTGAAGATTTCAGATACACTTCACCGCACTGAGACCAAGGTCTTATCTATCGCAGAGATAGGATTGTGGAAGAACACGGTGTATTATTAATATTTTAAGTTTGTTCTTTCTTTGAAAAATGAATGTTTTGTACGGCATGGTTTCATATGTTTAAAGTTCACTGTTACAACAATTGGTTGGTATTGTATTATATATGTGTGTCAATAAAATTAGCAGATTCTTTACAGAAAACATCTTATCTTTTTTATGGCGTGTTTTTTTGTTCTAAATTTGATACGATATTCCGAAATATCATTTTTTTTGCTTGATGAAACGAAATCGTCTTCGAAATAAAATAACAAAAAAAAAAAAAAAAAAAAAAATCATCTTTAAATACAGATTTACTCTACTTTCCCTGAATATTTGCGATACTTGTGTTACTGACATGGGAAGTTGTTTTATTTTTTACCAATAGTACCTTTAAAAAATAATTATTCAAAATGTCAAGGAATGTCAACTTTGTGTAGAGTTTTCAAGAAAACAAAAATTAAATTAAAAAAAATTAATAGATTATTACTTTCATCTTTGCCACCTGGTGTTTCTCATTAAAGTCACATTTCGAAATACCACTGCAGAACAAATCCGTACTTACAGAGACCTAGATACAATAACCTACTCGATCCTCTACTCAACCATCGAGACAGTACAAGGTAGTAATCTAGACCAATCCTTGACGAACGTTACACTCTTTTTCACGTTTCTATGATATTTACTAAAAATGCATGATATCTCTTAGGCCCATAATACTATAAAGTCTGTTTAATCTCTTAACAGCTATATAAACATTGCCGACAAGAGTCTTACCTTACTTCAACTACGATTCATGCAGTTGTACATATTTGCAAATTGATAAGACATCAGGACAACGCTATATATTTCCATTCTACCACCTGTTTCACATTTAATTTTAGGTTAACCAGATGGAAGTATATCAGGCTATGAACGCCCTTTAAGCGTATGAATACACTTTTAGTGGTCAGGGTGAGAAGTCCACCAAAAAGTAGTCCGCCACTTTCACTTCGTTATTGATATACAGTGAATTGTCATATATGAAGACGTTAAACTTAAGTAAGACCTTTGCAAAAATAACTTTACAAAGCCACCAAATTATAGAAGAACAAATTAATTGTCAAACATGTATTTTTACCACAAAATCATTATTATCCGTCAACTTCGTCTGCTAAAATAGACGTCGATCTGACAGTCCAAATTACAAATGTAGAATTTGTTCCACACAAAATGTCATCACTTACTGACAGGACCGACTTCCATCGCTCCACTCCACGACACAAAATGGTAAATAATTCCCGAAGAAACAAGCGACACCATGTTTCGTGAAATCTGACAGGGCCGCATCACTTCTTAAAGAAATATCAATGCGAAATCTTATATCAGGCAAATGAAAAAAATACATTGTAAAATAATGCATTCATTCAAACAATTCCGAGAGTTGTCAAACTGATTTCACTCGTAGAGTTCAACTTGTAAATATGCTATTTCATACATTTGCTATTTAAGATGAAACGAGGAACTATATCATTACGGTTGTTCGGACTTGCTGACGTCAGTATTTTGTTACGTGGGGGATTTTTTAATGACGTATTCCCGGTTTTTCTTTTGATTTGTTTTAATTTTTATAGATTTTTGGGAACGGGCGCCATTCTTTTTATTTTTAACCCGGATAAGCTCCATTTTAACTGTATACTCCATCTGGTAACAGTTTATAGTTTAAATGTATCTATCTAGTTTGAGCTATCTTGCAACTCTGCTTTAAGTAATCAGGATGTATTCATTACAAAGTGCATTCCCACTATGAAATAAAAACACTATAAAAAGGGTGCGTAATTAAACACAGTATAAAGTTTCTTTTGAAAATATGTAATTGTCACGAAATGTTTTAATTAAAAAGTTCATCTCTTCCAGTGAATTACACACTAATTCAAAATTCGATGTTCTATTTAATTCGATATGACACAGTCATACGGAGTAAAACTGAAGATCGAATTTTTAATGAATTGAATTATACTGTGCAGGTGGGCATTCTATAAACATAGGAATATTCCGGACACGTTTGAATTTCGCTAAAAGCTGTTTTATAAAACTTGTACATACGCAGCTTATGTCTCAATGTGTCACCCCGACACAAAGACCAGCTTTTATTTTACTGTAATTTGCAGAAATTCTCTATTGGTCTAGCAATATCGATCTATACATTGATTGCCTCACAGCATGTTTACAGCTGCTCATCCCTTTACAAACGAATGTAGCGACCAGTTGGATTCCATGTTTTATTATATAACCACAAGCAATTTTCCATTGTATCTATTTGTTGCAGTTATGTATTATACAAAGTCATACGGTAAATATTGATATTTTCTCAGTTTTTACTGTGTCGCTGGACCGGACATCATGTTTCTAGTTTCGTTTTCAAAATCATCACGTGTTAAAAATGTGCTATATTTAGGCGATCTCATTTTGAATTGGCCAGGGGTATGATAGTATTTGTCTGTCTGTCTGTCTGTCGACAAAATTTTGAGCCACCTATTTCTGCCAGGAGTATGCATGGATGCGTACATTATATTCCGTTATTCGATTATGGAACTTGATTCCGCGAAGTCCCTATTCTAATGATTGATTGTCTCGGAAACGGTTTGTATTTACACCTAGTCTAGAAAGTTACACTTCTGATAAGCCTTAGAGGTCATGGGGTCACAGGTCACGGACGCATTACAGTACTAACGTGACTTATTATCTCCGAAAACTGTAGATATATTTTATGTATATACAAAGATTCAAGGTACAAAAGTCATCTTGTGCAGGTCACAGAAATACCTATCATTTTAAAAAATAACCAATAATTTCAGAAACGGTAGGTATGTTTCACACATGCACATGATCTACATGCCACGCCCTTTTGCTTCCATGAACGCGATTTAAATGGCCCTTGACGTTGATGATGAAAAAAACAATGTGCTATTTGTACCAATGGCTAATTATCTCGGACAGTTGATATTTTGTTTTCAATTGTATAATGTACATTTGAGTATTATTGATAT